AACAATATTGTACTTTGCGTTTATAAAATCATGCAACACTAACCCTTGTGAAGGTTTCATAGTGATACCTCAACTTAGTTCAAACATGAGTTATTTATTTTTATTTTTTTTGGAGTTTGAACCATGAAACAAAGTATGAATAGGAATTTAACTTAACACATTCAAAACATGGTTTCAATGGAGCATTAATTTCATGGATTGAAATATATAAAACTACTCATGAATACAAATCTAACTCAGGAATCAAGCTATTAGTTAAAAATAGAAGCCCAAGAAAGCTTGTAATGAAGATGTGAGAAGACCCATAACTTTACTTGAAGTTTTGATTCACAAGGAGGAGGGAAATGATAAGGTTAATGGTTGGAATGGTGCAAGTAAACACCAATCCTCAAGAACATGCCAAACCATCAAAGTGTTCTTCAATATTCTTTCAAAACTCAATTAAAACCCTGTATTTAACCTCAAACTGACAACATGTCCTGACTAGTGATGAGTTTGCTGTAGTTTTGGGCTGGGACTCATATGAAAAACCTAGAATAAAGAATTTGGAATGCCACCCCAATTGCAATTTTGTGATTTGTTTGGAAATTGAGAAAAGATGTTGTGTTTAATGTGGTGCAGGCAAATCTGGAGGAAGTCTGTGAGCTCATAAAAGTAAGAATTGCAATGTTGGTAAAGGATTCATCCCCTACTATGGTTTTTTCCGTCAATGATATGGTGTTGAATCTTCATCAAGTCTGATTTTGCATTATTTTCTTATTTAGTATTGTCACACCCTACTTTTTATTACTCGGATTCTATTACCAAAACCATTATTAAAGATTCAATTTCAAAGATAGCATATAGAAGCTCGTCATATTTATAAAGAAAACATAAGGAAGGGTTCTCTCAAGCGAATATAAATCGAATGCAACATGAACATAACTAAATAAATTACCTGTAGGCTTACATCATTTAATTAAATAATTCAGATTAATGCACCCAATTAGATGATTTAGATTAATGCACCAAATTAAATAATTCAGATTAATGCACCTAATTAAATAATTCAGATTAATGCACCCAAATAAATAATTTAGATTAATGCACCAAATTAAATAATTCAGATTAATGCACCTAATTAAATAATTCAGATTAATGCACCCAAATAAATAATTTAGATTAATGCACCTAATTAAATAACTCAGATTAATGCACCCAATTAGATAATTTAGATTAATGCACCCAATTAAATAATTCATATTAATGCACACAATTAGATAATTTAGATTAATCATGTACACAATTCATAAAACTCTATAACTCCAAATACATTAAATTATGTAATCTAGCCTAGAAAATAATAAGCATGTAACAAATTAAGACTAGAATAGAATTAACATGTCAAAATTGCAACATCCATAAATTATATTTTATAACCTTAAAATTCATACAAATCATGGTAGGGAAATGACGAACCATACACATAAAACAAGATCATACTAATACAATTAAGTATGCAAATTATAATAGAGCATTCTAATTAAACTAAGCAATTAGAGAGTACCATTGCATAATTTACAATTATTGAAATAGTGAGCAATTCCGCAACAATTCCGAGTAACATTATATAAAGCTAACCTAATAGTCTATATAAATCTATTCAATCAATTTCATAGAAAAAATATATAAAATCTGTTTTAAGCTTGTTGTTCAAAATTGTGAAATTAAATAAATAGATTTATGAAGAAAACAAATTATATACCAAGAATATATGCTGATAATTATAACTAAATTTCAACAGAAATACACAAAAAACAATAAAGGGTAAAGAGACAAAACCGAAGCCTACACGGAAGCAGTTTCCTTAAAACAGATTTCGCCGCCTCACGGGTCGAGTGCTTGAGGAAACCCGGCGTCTGTCTCCCAGGATATGACAGTCAAAACCAGCTACGGCAGAAGCACTATCTGTCTAGCTTAGCGAACAAAACAATGCACTACAAGAAAAAACACTTTTGGCGACCACCTTTTTTTTTTGTCGCAAATAGTCCACTTTCTGCGACTAAAATTTAACTTTTGGCGACCACAATTTTTTGGTCGCGGAAAATCACCTTTTGGAGACCAAAAAAAAAAGTTGGTCGCGGAAAGTATACTATTGGCGACCAAAGGCTTTTTTGGTCGCAGAAGATCACCTTTTGGCGACCAAAAAAAAAGTTGGTTACGGAAAGTATATCCTTTGGCGACCAAAAAAAAAAGTTGGTCGCGGAAAGTATACTATTGGCGACCAAAGGCTTTTTTGGTTGCGGAAGATTACCCTTTGGCGACCAAAAAAAAAAAGTTGGTCGCGGAAAGTATGCTATTGGCGACCAAAGGCTTTTTTGGTCGCGGAAGATTCCCCTTTGGTGACCAAAAAAAAAAGTTGGCCGCGGAAAGTATGCTATTGGCGACCAAAGGCTTTTTTGGTCGCGGAAGATTCCCCTTTGGTGACCAAAAAAAAAAGTTGGCCGCGGAAAGTATGGATAAATTTTTAAAAAAATGATACTACAGTAATTACATGCTATTTTTCTATTTAGACATTAAAAGTTTTATAAAATAATATATAACCCAATTTTTATGGGTTATATATTTTTTTTGTCAAATATGGACAAGAAGTATGTTATTGGCAGAGTGGCAGAGTGGATTGGGTGCATGGTGACTCCTTGGTTAGGAGTTCAAGTCCCATGGCGCACAAAAGAATTATTTTTTTTGGGTCAAGGCGCTGACTTTTGGCGACCAACTTATCTTTGATCGCTAAAAGTTTACTTTTGGCTAATATGAATTGGACTTTTCGCAACCAAAAAAGTTGGTCGCGAATGGTCACTTTAGCGACCAAAGGCTTTTTTGGTCGTAGAAAACTATCTGTGACGAGGCTTTAGCGACCAACATATTTAGGTCGCGAAAAGGTTTTAGCGACCAAATATGGTACTTTTCGCAACCAAACATGTTCGTCACGGAAAGTGTTTTTTCTAGTAGTGATGGCAGCACTCTCTCACAATAGGAACTATCAAGCAAACTGACTTGTAAAATGGAAGCAAAAATTTCTATATTGAAACTTGACAGGAGGGTCTCAATTTATACATGTATAGGGGAGAGAGAAAAAACCTCCAGCCTTTAAGACTAGTCATTAAAACACCAAGTATCCATAACCTCTTTCCACAAAATGAAAAGTATGGATGCCCAAAAGATTCACACCCTTTAGTCAAGAAAAAAGATTTAAATACTCTTTAAAATCTTATTCATGAATCTAACATCATGAAGCAATTTCTTGGCAATTTCTTATTCAAAACCCAATGATTTTTAGCTCACTTGGACCTAACACAAGAAATGGTTAGGACCCACTTTAATATTTAATTAAAGTCACCACACTTTAATATTAAATTAAAGTCTCAAAAAATCATTTTTTCCAACAAAAAGCTAGCTTTTTATTTTTTATTTTTTTCTAAAAAAAGTATAAAAAAATAGAAATGTGATATGACTCAAAGTAAGTTAAGAGTTAAAAAGTAACTTTTTACCTACTTGCCAAAATAAGCCTTTATAGAACTATTGTGTAACACTTTTTTTTTATATGATTTTATTATATATATATCATTTGTATATATTAATTTGTTAATTAGTGACAAACAAATTACTGATATATAGTATTTCTCCAAATTTTATTATGTTTTGAGATTCTCTAAAAATTTTAATGTTTTGTAAGTATTTTGAGACATGAATAGAAAGGAATTTGAAGACAAAATATTGAAACACTTATGAACTCGAGGGAGACTTCAACTTCTGTGATTTCATACAGGCTCCACGCTCGAGCGGCAGTTTCCACGCTCGAGCGTCGAATCACACCATCCAGTACTTTGTCAGGCGACTGCAGAGATGTTGAGAGCTGCCAATACCCGCTCGAGCGTAACTTTCCCCGCTCGAGCGGGGAGACCAAAATTTGAACAATTTGAAAACTGAAACCTGAACCACCTTGGTTTTGATCCATGGATTTTGACAACAAAGGGTCCTAACAGAATCCATAACATTGAATAACATATCCAATTTATAATATACATGTAGTTTGTTATGTTAAATAAATTGAATTGGTCTGGTTCTACATTAGATGATGGCTTGTTTCGAAAAGTAAGTTAAGAATTGATTTTTTGACTTTTTCTTTTTAAATGTGTAAAAAATTATAAAATTAACATGACTTAAAAAAAAAAAGAAAAAAAAAAGAAAAAGCTCAAAAACTGACTTTTAGTCAAATTTCTAAAATAGGCCGATATGTTTACCACCATTTATTACGTTTTGCTAACATTTTTTTTTTCATTTAAAAAAATAAGAAAAATTAATTTAAAAAATATACCATTAAACTATGATGAAGGCACATCCCACAAGTTGTACTGAACCTTTCCAAAAAAGATTTCTTACCGGCACACCCGGTTTCCTGGTGAAGAAGATCCTTCTGTTTCTAAACGATTACGTATTATACTATACCAAATCAGCAATGCTGACTTTTAGCCCAATTTCTAAAATAGACCGATATGTTTACCACCATTTATTACGTTTTGCTAACATTTTTTTTTTTCATTTAAAAAAATAAGAAAAATTAATTTAAAAAATATACCATTAAACTATGATGGAGGCACATCCCACAAGTTGTACTGAACCTTTCCAAAAAAGATTTCTTACCGGCACACCCGGTTTCCTGGTGAAGAAGATCCTTCTGTTTCTAACGATTACGTATTATCCTATACCAAATCAGCAATGCTACGTATCATGAAAAGTCTTTCATAAAAATGATCATGAAAAATTTGTGACCTTTGAATTACACTTACAATAAAACACTACACAGTAATCAAGATAATGTAAGAGTCACAAATTTTTCATAAAAATGATCATGAAAAAATTTTCATGATCCCTAATATTTCTCATACCCAATTATCAACACGTGTCCCCTCCCCTAATTTCACACCATCATTCATCAATTTCCCATTCATTTATATACTCCTCCTCCCCTTCCGTACCCTTTCCAAATTTCCCTTCGTATCATTTCTTCCTCTAATTTCCTCTCCCATTCTCTCCCAAAATACTCAAAATCACAATCTCTCAATCCCTTCCTCAATCTTGTTTCTCACTATTCATATATCTTGCAAAATGACGAAATATGGCGGAGCGGGACGTAATTGTTGGGGTGGTGGTGGTGGTGGTGTAATGGAGAAAACAAACAGTCTCCGGCGACCTAAACTCGGGACGCTATTACGTTCCGAACCCGACATTTCGATCAATCGAGAAGAGACTAGTTATTGCTTCAATCACCGTAACAGCAACGCTTCTGCAGGCAGCCCAGCTCAAATCTACAACAGATCTCCGATGAGCGGAGACTCCTCTCCTTCTCCGTACTTCATGTCTCCATGGAACCAGACCTCCTCACCGTACACGAACTCACCCTGGATTCGAGCTTCGCCTTTGATCTTCAAGGATAACCGAAGATTTTTGATCGGGTCGCTTCTTCGCGAAGAAGGACACGTATATGCTTTAGCTGCTTCTGGAGACTTGTTATATACAGGATCAGATAGCAAGAACATACGTGTATGGAAGAACTTGAAGGACTTTTCGGGATTCAAATCGAACAGTGGATTAGTCAAAGCGATTGTTATTTCCGGCGAGAAGATTTTTACCGGACACCAAGACGGTAAAATTCGAGTCTGGAAATTGTCTCCGAAGAAAAACTACAAGCGCGTTGGGAGTTTACCGACAACCCGAGACTTCATCAAGAGCTCCTTCAACCCGAAGAACTACGTCGAGGTGAGAAGACACCGGAACGTGCCGTGGATCAAGCATTTCGATACCGTGTCATGCATGAGCCTCGACAAGGACCGGGGCCTTCTCTACTCCGGTTCTTGGGATAAAACAATCAAAGTATGGAGAATTCGTGATTCTAAATGCTTAGAATCCGTCAAAGCTCACGACGATGCTGTTAATTCTGTTGTTGTCGCGGGCTTTGACGGGCTAGTTCTCACCGGCTCAGCCGATGGGACGGTGAAAGTTTGGAGGAAGGAGTTGATGGGGAGAAAATCGAAGCACGTGTTGGTGCAGGTGTTGTTGAAGCAAGAGAACGCGGTCACGGCGTTGGCGGTGAATGTGGAAGCGGCGGTGATATATGGCGGCTCGTCGGATGGGTTGCTGAATTTTTGGGAACGTGAGAAGCATTTGTGCCACGGCGGAGTGCTCCGCGGCCACAAGATGGCGGTGCTATGCCTGGCTACGGCGGGGAACATGGTGTTCAGTGGTTCCGCGGACAAGAGCATTTGCGTGTGGGGGAGGGATAAAGGTGGGGACCACACGTGTCTCTCTGTTCTCACTGGTCATTGTGGTCCAGTCAAATGTTTGGCCGTTGAGGAAGATCAAGATCAGGAGTCATCCAACGGTGATGATGATCGACGGTGGATAGTGTACAGTGGTAGTTTGGACAAGTCGGTGAAGGTTTGGAGGATGTCTGACCACGTGGCAGAATTAGAGTAGTTCAAGGGTGTGAGGTTTATGCCCCGCCATGTACGGTGGCGTAGTGGCGGAGCTTGAGTTATTCCTTTCAAAAGAAGGCACCGTGACAGTGATTTGAGATATGGACGTTGCATGTGACGCTATCAAGTCAAGCAACACGTTGGCAAATTATGAGTTGGGATAGTTTTTACAAAAAAAAAATGCTTTAGACACTAATTAGTGGTGTCTCTAATGATGTGGTAGTGGGTCTCATCCACTGTCACATGTGTATTGTGCCTTAATTTTTTTTTTTAATTTTTTTAAATTTTCAGCTCATTAGTGATGGATTTAGAACTTCCTATTAAGAGCTCTAAATCAATACTGTAGTTTTTAAGGTGCCGTCTTGTGCAAATCAAATCATGCAACTCATATGGTTTGGTATCGAAAAATTATGGAATCGTTTGGTAACTTTTTAATTTTTTATTTATATATATAAAAATTTATATAATTTAAATAAAAATTTATTTAGTAAATTTTTAATTTATAAATTAATGATTTCAATTTATAAATTTAGTCAAAAAATATAAATTTAAAAAATAATTTTACGTTTTAAGTTTTGAGTTTTTTTTTTTTTACTATCCAACACTAGTCACCACCCGTCACCATTTTCCACCACCGTCTTCCGCCACCACCACTCACCTGCCACCATCACCCACCATCCGCCACCACCACCCACCTGCCATCCACCACCCATCACCCATTTGCCACCCACTTGTCGCCACTACTACCACCACCACCCACTACCCACCTGCCACCCACCCGCCACTACTATCTACCGCCCGCCACCACCACTCACGACCCACCTGCCACCACAATTCACTGCCAGCCACCTGCTACCACTAGCCACCTGCCATCCACCCACCACCACCACCACCACCACACTACCATCCACCGCCCACCACCACCACCACCACCTGCCACCTGCCACCTACTTGCCACCACCACTCACCACCCACCTGCCACCACTAGCCATCTGCCACCACCACCCACCACCACTACCACCCACTCGCTACCACCTCCACTCGCCACCACCCACCACCCGCCATCGTCACCCATCCACCCACTACCACCACCCACCTATCCACCACCACCACCACCCACCCGCCACTTGCCACCACCGTCTTCTGCCACCATCACCCACCACCTTCCACCATTTTCCACCACCATCTTTCGCCACCACCACCCGCCATCATTTTTCACCACTTGTCTCCACCCACCACCCGCCATCACTTATCATTTCTCACTCATTTTTATATTTTTAAATTTTTTTAAACATTTTGTCTAAACCAAACGCATTTGTAGTTTATGTTTTTCTAAAAATAAACAAAAATCAATTTATAAATTTTTTGTAAATATAAATTGAAAACGTAAACGTTACCAAACAGGCTGTATATGACCACCAAGGGTCCATTCTGAAGTAAGGGGATTTGTTCTTCGCTTCACTAGTCTTTTTATTTTTTATCATTTAAGTGAAAGTTGAATGATTTAGATGCATCAATTGATTTTTTCTAATTTAGTATGTAAGAGTGAATTTTAAAAATCTTGTATTAGGGGTGTTTCTGGGCATCAAATAATAATAAATAAATAAATAATTATACGAATATGGGGATCCCAAAATGTTGTAAATTATGCGTGAGTGAGAGAGCTAAATTGCTCCCATAATGGTTGTAAATATAATGACTTCATAATTATTAAAAATCAGTGTTGATTTTCTATATTTGAAGCCGTGGAAAATTTAGGAGAAATTGTTAATGTAAAAACTAGTTTCTTGCTACAACAAATGAGTTTTATTTTATTTTATTTTATTTTTTTCTTCTCGTTATTTTGCCATCACATGATTATGAAATGATTTTAAAGATTGCTTTAAGTAATAATAGGGTGGAAAAACTAGTTTCTTGCTACAACAAGTGAGTTTTTTTTCCCTTAAAGATTGTTTAAGAATAATAGGCTGGAAAAACTAGGTAGCGTTTGGTAGAGTTTTGTAAATGTGATTTGAGAATATGAGTTGTATTTTGAGTTTGTGTGTTGTGGAATTATGATTTGAGTGTAGAAAAATTGTTTGGTTATGGTTTTTAAATAGAGTGTTGAAATGTGTTTTGAATATGTATTTTGAATTATGTTTTGAAAGTTTGATGTGACATGTGAAATAAGAAAATTTATTTGGTAATGTGTTTTCAAAATAGTTTTCAAAATTTAATTCAATCAATAATTTATTTTGAGTGTACACAACTCTTATATCGATATCCGTATTTTTTATCAACAGTAATAACCAAACTATATTTAAAATACTGAAATTAAAAATTGTTTTTTTTTTAATTAATTTTTTTCAATAATTTTTGTTGAATAAATTTTTTTTTCAAATTATTTTTCCATTTTAAAATAAATCTGTCAATTATTTTGTGTCAATTAAATTTTTATATCAATTCATTTTTTACGCCTGTACAAACATCTTGTACAATACATTTTTAATTTTTGTTTTTAAATTTTGTTGAAGTCAATAACTTTTAAAAATACATATTAATAAAAATTAACATAAATACACTAAGTTTAATAGATTAAAATACAAATCATATCGTAAACCTTATAAAATATTATCAATTTTTTTTCTCATTTATTACACGTTATTAATTTATTAGGAAATGAGTACAAATCAGACCATTATTGAAGGACCATCAGCACGCTCATATAATTGAATTCACCTATAAATTTACTATTTTGTCCCTCTCTATTTACATGGGAAGTGAACAAAATATAATGGGTAATTTAGTAATTTCATGAACCTACTACCTATATACTGAGCCAAAAGAAAAGGGGCATCATAGCTGTGTATATCAGTTCACATGCACTTTTCTGAAAAACATTATTAATATTATAAAAAAATAATACGTAACAAATTAAAATATAAAAATAAAAAATAAAAAACCAAGCTTCAGCCTTGTTATAAATTCTGATAAACCATTCTTTTAACCACACCATCCGTCTTTGGTCCTTCTGGTCTTTGGTCCTTCTGAAAGAAGATTTCAACTTGACCGTCGAGTAATCTGAGTTCCATCAAGAACATTAATTTCAATTACAGGTTAGTTTCGTATTACCTTCGCATCTCGTATTTTATTCAGACTACCTTTGGTATTAAAACACCAGTAGCTTTCGAAGAAGAAGAGGAGCGGTAGCCTTCGACACGGTAAACTGGGTGGTCATCCGGCCGGTCATCCCATCCCAGTCGATCAGTTTTGTGGCTGCCGATCTGTTCATGTTTTTCATTTCTATCCCATCATATGTGTTCCATTTTTTTACACTAACATTATATTATTTTTGATATATTTTCTATACATTTTCGTACATCATACTATTTTCGATATAGTTTCCATACATTTTTCCCAATTCATGTTTTAATATATATTTTTTATATATTCTTCTTTCACTGTTGCAGCTATCATGCCAAGAACAAAACGAGCCAGACCCGAACGTGGTGAATCCTCAAACCCTGTACAACATCAACCACAGCAACAACATCATGACAATTTAAATAATGATTTTTTATCGTATCATCATGAACAAGCCTATTCACATTTTATTAATCGACCAATTGTTACGGGGAGAAATGTAAGACTACCTTCTCAATATGACCCGTTCTTAGTTGGTAAATTAGATACAATAGGATGGCTACCTTTAACTAATTTACCAAATAAGGTATATCCCCGTATTGTACGATTATTTTATGTTCACTTGACAGCTGGTGACCAACAAAATGAACCGTTCAGTCTGACCTCCTATGTGAAAGGGAAAACAATCACACTCACTCTCCGTGCTTTCGCACAAATTATTGGAGTTCAAACAGGAGATTTACAATGCTATTTTCAAAATGAGTCTGCCTTAGAACGAATGTTTGGTGATGTCACTCAGATCTATACCACAATTGTGACAACAAATTTAGCGGCACTAATTTACTAGCCAGACATTTAAAACCCCACCTTCGTATTCTTCATCGATGGATAATTGAAAATGTCAGTCCCAAAAAAGGCCATTATGATAGTGTTTCATGTTTTAATGTTTATTTGTTATACTGTTTTGAAACTGGACAGAAATTAAATTTATGCTTCATATTACTCAAAGAAATGATGATTGCAAAACTCGATACTCTGTCTGGTCGGTCACTACCTTATGGAGCTTTGTTAACCACAATTTTCAAAGCGCATGATGTCAACCTTGAAGGGGAACAATATGTCATAATCATTTCACCAATTTCTGAGTACATACTGACCCAAGGTGGTGGTGCTGACATTTTGATGAGCTCTATTAATATCGAAAATGAACCAATACCCGATGAGGAAGAACCCAATGACAATGCCATGCCACCAAATGAACAACCCCATTACTGGACTGATTATTTGGCTGTGGAACAAGAACGGTACAATCAGCGCGTACAATGGGAACAACAAATGACTAATCAGCTCAATACATTGGGTACTCGGTCCGATGAATTTGCCGCTGCTCAAAACTCACTAATTCAACAATTTAGCGAGTTTCGTATAGACTCAGGGAGACATGATGAAGTGACAAGGAACCACATTGATCAGATTGACCATCGAGTCACTCAACTGTACCATCACTATTACCCTTCACTGCCAACACCACCTGATAATGATGCTTAACTTGTTCAAAAATCAATTTAAATGGTGAAACAGATGTAGTGGCTACATGTTTTTTTTTTTTCAATTTTTTTTTTGGTTATTTATTTTCTTATTTTGTTGTACTTCTTTTATTTTGTTACTTTGTTGTAAACTTCTGTATTCATGTCATGAATAACAAGTGTTTTTTTTTTAATCATTTTAAAACAAGTTACAATGTTCTGACAATATTTACGAAAAGATTTCGCAAACGGAAAAATTATGGGCGTAGAAAATTGAATATATGTGAACAAAATAAATATCTAACAAATCATTCATTTCAATGAAATGAATAAAAATTAAACAAATAAAAAATAATTTGTCTGTATCAATTAATACAAAAAATGAAATTAATGTTGTAAAATGAAATAAAACAAGTTTCAAGTAAATAATAAACCTTTTTTTTTTAAGTAAAAGGAAAAAAAAAAAGTTAATATGAACAAAATTTTTAAAAAATAAGGTGTAAAAAGAAAAAAAAATTAAATTGATAAACCAAATTAATAACAAAACTTTCAAATTGTTTACTATTTAACAAAAAGTCAAAACCACGAATATGTCATGTACAAATATTTTTTCACAAAATTGAAAATAATAAATTGTAATTATTTTATTAATTTCAGTCATTATGAAACCTTTATTACATTACTTCACCCACCACCCAGCACCCACCACCCACCACCTACCACCCACCACCACTCACCACCACCCACCTCCTACCACCTACCACCACCGACGACCCACCACATTACATAATGACTGAAAGTAATAAAATAATTACACATTTAAAACCAGTACTCAGTACGATATTGAGTTGCCTTGTTGACATTCCTTTTCTATCCGTAGCCAACATGATTTTGCCACATAGCAGTAGCAATTGCATCCCGAACGTTCGATTGATACGTTAACCCATGTTGTGACATGTCAACGTAGTCAGCTTGGTTTCCAACAAGCTCGTCTGCTTCTGCTTCTGCAACCATTTCATTATCAGCTTCCATAAATAATAGGTCCATAGCTGCATGCAAACGGATCCAATTGTGCACTACACAACATGCAATCACGAGAGGCCCTTGTCTTGTAGACTTGTAATTTGGCATAAACCGCAATATTGGGAATTGCTTCTTCAGAACACCAATTGTTCTTTCTATGACATTGTGTAACGACGAATGTCGATGGTTGAACAGTTCATTGGGTCCTGAATAATGCCGGCCATGAAACTCTTGCAAGTGACAGTGTTAGCGATGGTTAAACAATTCCTTTGGTCCTGAATAATGACGGCCACGAAACTCTTGCAAGTGATATCGTTGAGACCGAAATGGGGCAAGAAATCCAGGCATGTTTGTGAAACCAGCATCAACTAAATAGTACTTACCTACATGTAAATAATGAATATACAGTTCTGTCAATTGATAAGTGCACAAAAAAAAAAGTGCACTATATGATATTTGCGGACAGTTACCATTGGGTGGGTGTGGGAACTGTAGATCAGCTCGTGTAATAGAGTCAATCAAAATAGCGTTGTCGTGAGCGCTACCTTCCCATCCGGAATTAATAAATGTGAACAACATATCGAAGTCGCAAGCTGCGAGTACGTTTTGCGATACCGTTGATTTCCGACCGTGGAATGTATTTTGTCTTGAAGCGGGGACCCATGCATCGACCAACGTGCCATCAATAGAACCGACACAATCCTAATTGACAGATATTTATTTGACATTAAAGCCAAAACAAACTTCGATATTACTTTTATAATTAAAAAGGAAATAATATTTATTTCACATACGTTATTGATATGTACAACTTACAGGATAGTTATATTGTTCATACCTTGAACCAGGGAAAAAACCTCCTGTGATTTAAAATTTTTGCCGGTGTGTCGTCTTGGTTACGTGGCCTGATAACCGTTGATGCAAGCTTGCACAATGCCCACATAATAATTTTTATATGCCGACAAATTGTTTCCGTGGAGTGCTGAAATCTATCTGCCAATAGTCGATGACGATCATTTTGTGCAAAAGTGTATAAAAAAATTCCAAGCGATTCCTCGACACTTATATGCATATGCTCAATATCGATAAAGCCATTGTGGAGTAAAGTGTCTTTCAATAAAATGAATGTTTGTGCATCCATTCGCATAATGTTCATCATTATTTCTGGATGGCCAGTTAATAGGCCGAAGATGTAATCATCACCTTTGAATGGAAACGTTCGCTGCGGTCGGCGAGTACTTGAGGCGTTGATTTGGTCATGCATGCAAGCAATCATCAAAAAATCCATAAAATCATCAGTAACCTCATCCTCGTCTGATGAGATCTCCATTGAATTATTTTCTCTGTCGGATGACATATGGTTTTGTCTACATCACAGTAAAACCATAATTATAAAATATGTCATTAATGTTGTAACACATACCATTAATGGTGAAATAGAATTAAAAAGGAAGTATATGAATAGTCGGTCGTAGTTATTTTTCAGTGTACACTAAAATTCATAGAAGGACAAAATTTATTTAATACGTGCTCATATTGTCATAACACAACATAATAGATAAGAAAACATAAATTACTTAAAAGTTCAAAAAAAAAAAAAAGCATACGAAGATAGGAAAGGGAATAGGATATCATGGAAGGAAAAAGAAAAAAAAAACCTAGTAAGGAATAATGAAATCATTTTTTAGTTCAGACAGGGCGATTTGATAACGCAATCAATGAAGAGCTTCTGACTTCACTGCAAAGCGAGGATCATGGGTAGGCGCAAATGGGTAGGAGTGCGCATAAAAAACCTTCGCCATTCCTTATCCTTGAATAGTGTCAGTGCCTTAATGTACTGCACTGGTGGTATGTCCCCAAGCTCTAGTAATGCATCTTGACATGCATCAAGAGAGTAATCATCACCACCTGCACTTACAGCCTCTGTCTCATTTTCTCGTGCACGTGAATGTCCTGTTTTTGCTTGTACATAGGATGTGAAAGCTGCGCACACATCATCAAACCCACTTGACCGTGACTTTTTAGAACGACCACTGTCAGTCTGGCTGGTTGTAGGGCCCCTCTTGTGACTTTTGCCCTTTGATGGATCCATGTACTCATCCCCATATAAGTCAACAGGAATTGCCTCAGCAGCGTTACTCCCACCAGCATTACTCCCACCAACATCAGGGTTCCAAAATTTATTTAACATGTCATCTTCTTCTTCTGAGTCAAGGGCTCCTTGTGTGGATGCACGAGATAAGGCCCCTGTGGCACAACAATTTTCAACAATTTCTGCCATTTCTTGAAAATATTCAAATCCTTTTGTCCTAAACTTCTTCACATTTCTGTTGGCCTACAACAAATACAAATAAAGAATTAAGCACTGTATGTATCATGAAATCTTTAAATTAAAATTATTTAATAGTACAGATTAATGAACAACCTTATCCCAAAATTCATCAGGTGCAGACCAGTCTGTGCCTGGAGTCGCTTAAATGTCTGATAATCAGCTTTCAATCGCTGATATTTTTGGCGCACCTGTGTTGCTGTATACCGAAATCCATACAGATTGTGCAACTGATTTGCATAATGATTCCAATGCCTAATTGTCCATGAAGTAGTACGGCCACTTGTTTGATTTTTTCTAACCTCATCTCTCAACATATTTATTAATTTTGTTTCACTTCTGGCCGTCCACATTTTTGTTTCTTGGTTGTCATCAGAATTATTTTCATCCATCTATAAACATACAAATGAAATTTAAACTAGTCTGGGGTAGATATACAAGACAAACAGATCATAATAGAGCAAAATGATTTCAAAGAGAACACAAATAAAAAAAAAAACAGATGATATTATTTAAAGAAAAAAAATAGCGTAACAGATTACTTTAATTTAAATAGCAGAAATATAACCACAACTAATAAAAAAAATTAGGTAAAAAAATCAGGTAACATTATCTTTGAATGGTAGGAGAAAACCAGTAAAAAAGATGTAAGGAAAATGGGACGGGTAGAAAATGAAGTAGGAAAAAAACCAGTAAATAAACCAGTGAATGTAGTTGAAAAAGGGATGGGTAGGTCGACCGGCCGGAGACCCCGGGAACGACCGGCCGGGTGTCCAGGTACACCGACTCAAGTTGTTCACAAGTTCTTTTCTTGCAGAAGGTTCAAACAGCTCACAATTGAAAACAACAACCGATCTGAAATGAGAAATAGGCGTCCACAAATTATGAGAAACCATTTGGGAACTGATTTTAACTTCTCAAAAATTATTTATATATAACAGATTCAAATCGATTTAGCAGTTTACTGCTATTCTTCTTCGCAAAAGGTGAAACAGTTCAGGAAAATAGAAAACATCTTAAAATAAAAAAAATAGTCCCTTACACTTATCAGAAAATATTTGAGAACTGATTTCGACTCGTATAAAATCGTTTGCAGTTGAAGGATATATTTACCAGATTAGTGGGAATTGAATAATTATCGCCGGTGATGGAATGTGTATACTGACTTAATGTAGCACTGTTTCTTCGTCGAATTCGACAATAAATTTCATAAATTTGACCTGAAATAAAAATAAAATAAAATTAGAGATGAATTTTTCAAATCATTTTCGTAAAACAAAATATGTAAATAAATTTGTGAGTTCTTTTACGTCGCAATCGTCGTTGTTTCGTTGCCCGTAATAAGAATCTTCCACAATGCACAAATTGTAAGGAACTCGATTTGTGAAAGATGATACCAGTATAGAGCGGGTTGAGTGGATTCATTATTTATAAAATCAGTCTTCTCTGTGAAGCCCACCCGTGATGAATTTGAAGTACCTGTGATGAATCTGAAGTACTGATGTTTGATAGAGAAGCCTACCCGTGATCAATATAAAGGACTGATGTTTGATACAGAGATGAGCTTCACGTGAATATTTCGGAGACGATGGAATATTTCAGAGACGATGGAGACGACATAGAAGGACATGAAAGAATGCACAAGCGTTGAAAGTAGAGATACAACCTGCCACACAGGTTTTCATACTATAATTTGAATTCACACGCGGAAATGTATTTTGAGTGTTCTATCCAAACGTGAAGCGTGAGTTTACATGTTGAAAACTAATTTGAAAATACAACCAAACAGACTCCTAGTTTCTTGCTACAACAAATGAGTTTTTTTTTTTCCATTATTTTGCAATCACATGATTATGAAATGATTTTAAAGATCATCTAAGTAATAATAGGGTGAAATTTGAAAAATAATTAGGCAGTTTTAAATATTATGTGATATTGTTTATATGATATTTTTTAAAATAAAAATGATTATTCCACCGAATTTGAGTTTGTCCAAATCACTCGAATTTGTGCATGCCAGTTGACCATCCGGATGACCAGTGCAATCTTTGTCAACCGTGATTGTCACCCTTGTCAATTGCGACTATCACCCTTGTTACCGGATGACCGGCTGAATAACTGGTCAGACGATCAGTATATACTAATTTAAACAATTCAGACAAGTCAAAATTCGATAGATGTAACATTATTTTTTTTAAAAATAAAAAATGTAAAATGGCACACCAAGTGATTATTGTAGGTAAGAAAAAAGAATCACGTATCAAAGATTATACAACTAAAAATACTTGAGTGTTCTGAGAAAATAACAAGACAAATGTTTATAAACTAAAAATACTTAAGTGTTCCAAGAAAATAACTAGAAAAATGCTTATAATTTTGAACATATATACATTTGAACTTGGTGTTATGTTGAAACACCCAAAATTGATCTAATTTATATTATTTAAATTTTGAAAACTATTATGTACACATAATCTTGTTGCTATAAAACTGTGGAGACATATTTTTAGGATTGTCCACGTAGCCGAGGTGATTAGCCGAGGTATCACATGGACAAGCCAGATTGCCGAGATGATTGTGGTATTGCCGAGATATAGTGCGGTAATACCGAAATTTGAGATATTCGGATAGAGGACAATAGCCCCAGACAATTTGAGGTGCTTAGTTCAGATAGAGATGAGGCTCTTAAGAGGTTCATTCTTATCTAAGTAAGAGTCCGAGATAAATGTTATGCTTGAGTCCTATAAAGAAAGACTTCTAGGGGCTAAGGGCATTGTTGTCTTTGGAAAGTGAGACACTTCCGTGAGTCTAAGGTATGCTTTTACTTGTGTACTGTTATTTGAGTTGATATTTTTGAGAAATAAGTGACTGACTTTATCGTTAGAGTGCCTCGAGTGGACGAACCACCGCGGTTTCTCTTATGTTCTTGTGTGCAGGTGTTGGATTTAATCTATTTCGCAGCATGCTCTCCAACTAAATTCCTTAGATCTTGACAAGGAGATCTGTTTGGTTGTGAGATAAAAAATCAACACCCACAAAAACAACACTTGGAAGGAATATTCACCTTCTTCTTTTTTTTTTCCATGCATAAGTAAGGCAATTAATTGGTCACTTCTATACATTTCTATATGACAAAACAAGGGGTCAATCATTGTTTTAAATGTAGAGATTGATAATTTATCTCTTATTATTGAGTTCTTTATCATATTAGTCATTTTGTTTCTATTATGTAAGCGTTTCTTAGATTGATTATTGATTTTGTTTCTTATTACGAAATTCTATGTTGGAATTTTATATTTTATTTTTTTTGGTTAGAAAACGGGGGCAAAGGCCCCAAAAAAATTACATATAGAAACTGGGCCAGAGATTGTAACGCCCTGCCGATCTAAATCTAGCAAAGTAAGAACAGAGGCTGGAGGAGTTCGAAGAATTGGCCGAGAAGACGCAAGGTATCTAGCCTTCTTGGCCAAGGAATCAGCACAAGCATTCACTTCTCACCCAATCCGTTGAAGGTGACAATACCAATCACGCGAGAGATGATCCCTAATTTCTTGACATAGATTAAAGTTTGGGTCCATTCTATCCTATCCATTAACAGCGTGGATGACTTTTAAAGAATCAATTTGGGCGATAACTACTCAAAATCTTCCATCCCATGCTAACTGGAGCTCAATGCACAAGGCCCAGAGCTCTGCCCATGCACTAAGGACTTCCCAATATAATGTCGAAATCCCATAATCCAATCTTCCTAGATGACTTAATTATTAAGCTTATATAGTCATTATTAGAATATGATTATTTAGATATAATTATCCACATATCATAAATATCTCTTCATATTCTCAATAACATTTTTTATAAAATGCCAACTCTATTCATGTAGCAGAGAGAGAAACAAATATTGTGGAAGCAAAAACATTCCAAAACGTGACAAGTTTAAGAGGGGGATTATGTAATAGTTGATTACAGGACCTCCAACTAATAACACCTTTGGACATATATTATTATTACCCAGTACAAGCCCCAGCCCAAGTTTGGTCCACCTTTACATCTGAATCTTGCAACATTTTTGGACTGGACTACAAGCCCACATACAGACTCTTTCTATTCCCTTTTTCTTTCACTTTCACTTTCTCTTTTTTGTTTTTTTTTGTTTTTTTTTTTTTTTTGTTATTGTAAAATTTATTTATTTTTTTGTCAATTGGTGGAAGATTAAGAAAGAGCTATATAATGGTAAAGAAATTAACAACATAAAAAAAAAAAATCCAACAACAAAAAAGAAATTATTATTATTATTTGCATTTAGGAATAATTGATCTCCTAAATAAAAATGTATAAGAGTAGTCACTTGAACTAATCCAATTGATTTTATTGTTTAAGATCTATTGCAACTGTATTTGAGTTCTTATAATTTGATTTTCTCTATCATTTTTTTATTATTATTTTAAAATTTAAGCTGTTTTTTATTTGAGTTTTTACTTTTATTAATTACCTGAACTCAAAATCACTTGATAAAAAATAAATGAAAGACAATGATATTTGTACAAGTATTATTTATAATGATAGACTTTTTATTTTCAATAAATGAATATAAATAATCCACAATATTCTATATAAACTTTTACAATTAATTTGTCACTCCATAGCACAGTCGCATGAGGGAAAAGAATAATGTTTAGTCATATGATTTTTTTGGATTTACAAATTATTCATATCAATCAACAGGTTAATTTGATGGTCAGAATTTTTACATCTTATTAAAAAGCCAATAATTAATTTATTTTCATATTTGCATGATTCTTACTAACTTTAAAAATTTATTCATGTTAATCATGCCGTGTAATTCTCCATTATAATTGTTTATAATATCATACATTGATAAACATATTTATGCTTGCTCCATCTATGCCAATGCCAGGTCAAAATCAAACGATTCAACCGGGTTCTTCCTCGACCAGGCGTGTCAACCACGAGACCCTCATTTTTTTGAATTATATGTATGTAAGTGTGAACATAAAAATGAGATAACTAGATTCCAAACTTCCACAATACATTTCACACGCCATCAAATCAGATGTAGCAAAAAGCCCTAATATTTTTTATAATAATTCTAA